AATAATTATATCCAAGTTGTATCATGATACGCCAGACAATAGTATTCCAGACAATAGAGGAATACGCTAGAAAGGAGTAGACACAGATTGGAATATCTCATACATTTGTCCACAATAATGTCACATACCAAAAAATTAATTTAAAAAAACTAAAAAATAGATGTATTTTTGAACATTTAAAAAAACCTAAATGAGGTATTTTCAAATAATGATTTGTCGTTAAATTGGTTTCGCTCACATAATACTGTTGGTGTGGGTTTTCCAAACCCATGTCCAACTCTCTTATTAGTATGATATTGTCCGCTTTGGGTTCAGGTGGCAAAACCCGCACGGATTTGTCTTTGGGCTTTTTCCCAAAAAGCCTCATACTAATTAGAGTTGGACATTACTTATATATTAGACCATTTTTGTCTAAACTTCTGATGTGGGATTTGGATTGATATCCCAACAAATTTCCCTTCAAACCAAATACCACATAAACTCGTGGATTTCTACCTTCAGCGAAACTTAGTACCCATCCTGTATACCGCTTGTACTCTTGGCACCTTTATTCGTGAGGTCACTTTTTGAGGGCTATTCTCCTACAACGAACATGTCCAACCCACTTTTCCAGATTCATTTTTCTGAACTTTGGGTCTGCTACCAATGTGGGGCTTTTCAAGCCCATGTCTGCTGAAACAGAGGAAGGATAAAGAACAGAGAAAATAGAAGAATATTTCTGCTAAATAATACTTATATTCTCTGATGAACAGATTCTCTGAATAATCTGATATGATGAACATATTCTTTTTTTAATCTGAAGAATAACAATGAAACAAACTACATGATTATATAGTAAAATAAAACGTAACTCCTACCCCATTAAACCTTGGATTCATTATGTCTTATAATAAACACAAAATTAAATCCCCAATTTAAACTCCAAAATCATAACCGACAACCGTTACGATTCACCACTTTATTCCCTTTGACTCCATTAACTTCGGTTTGAATAAGTCTTCAACAAATCCTACGTGGTAGCATTGCTCTTCGTTAGCCCCGGTTTTGAACAAGCAAAACGCGCTTGATAACGAGTTTTCTGGGTCCATATCATCCAACACAAATTTGCTTTGACACAAGAATTTTTACATAAGAAATTCTCAATATATAGAGATGTTCTAAAGAAGTTAAATGCCACACGTCT